CCAAAACTCTCCCACAATAGGTTTGCTTACAATTAAGTCCAAAATTATCTGCTGTATTTTTATAAAATTAAGAGAGTCCATTAAAAAAAAACACAACAACTATTCTTTCAAATCCATCCCCAGTCAGCATTCTTAACTTCCCTTCACTGTTTCCAAAAGTTAAACTTTTTCTTTTCAATCTTTAAACTTACTTAAATCTAATTTCTTCCAGGATAGAAGGAAATTTTCCTGGTGTACAGCAATTTGCCTTTCAGAAGGTTTTTAATGTCCAAGTAAATCGGTAATAAGTAATTTCTGATGGTAATTAAAAGAGGAAGTGAAAGCAAATGTAGTGTCCTTTGGAAGACTCCAAGCCACGGCTCGGGCTCAGTGTTTCGTGCGACTCCCAGAGCGCTCAGCCTGCTGGAGATTGCTAAAATGTGATCGCTCCACAGGGAGCCTCTATAAGGAGTGCTTGTAGGTGATCCTGTTATCTCCTTTATCCGGAGATGGTTCTGAAGAGCCAGACCTTTCACCAGGTCCTCTAAGCCGCTGTGGTCGTCAGTTCCACAAAAATGGAGCTGTCCTCAATCCACCCTTACTCCCCCAGGAGCCCTGCAGCCAGCTATCTTCAATTAGAAGGGTTTCTCCCTTGCTTGGCAAAGAGCCTTATTAAGTTTCTTTGTTCTGCTCTCTGCTCTACTCATTGAGTCTGAGGGCTTGGGGGCCATGCCTCATCACCTGACGGCTCCAGCTGTTCTGATGGTTCCTGTGTTTGATCAGCCTCAGGTGATTCCTGGTTCAGTGTCTCCTGAGGCTGACACTCCCCAGGTTCAATTGGAACAGCTTCTTCAGAGTCAGAGTAAAGGGCCTAGAAATGATGTTCTGCAAGCTTTCCCTTCTTTGTTCAAAGTCTAAAATTTAATTTTCTTAAAATTAAAAACTGCAGTATTACATGGTTATTTCCCCCCAATGTTCCTACTATGTCCACTTCCTCAATTATATCTTCCCTATTGATAGCTGCCAATGGTAGCTAATTCTCTTTTTTTAAATATAATTTTATTGAAAGTTTTAAAAACAAGAGTAAAAATCAATACAAACTAAAATAAAATAAGAAGGAAAAAAGAAAAAGGGTGAAATAAAAGAAAAAGCTAAAAGAAAAAAGCTAAAAGAAAAATAGAAAAGAAAGAAAAACAATATAAAGATCCTCTGAATCAGTGTATGCATTTAAACCCAAAATTGTTTAGCTATAATGATAGCTAATTCTCTTGTGCCTTACTCTATCCTCTACAGGAGAAGGTCATCAGCAAGAGGTGTCATGACTTTGCTGGAAGGACCATGCTGCAAAGTTGTCTCCCAATAAAGGCTGGTGTTATTAAAGTCTTCCATCACTACCATTTCATGCCTCTTTGAAAGCTCTGCAAATTTGCTTTTGGAAGGTATTATCCACCTCCACCCCTTGATCAGGAGGGCAATAGTAGGTGTTAACAATGTAGTGCTTTTATTTTTAACCCAGATTCTTTCCACAGTACTGCCAAGTTCATTCATTTGGATTTCTAGGAAAGAATGTTTGTGCAACAACTTATATCTTTCTTTTGCTTCTGCTCCTTTTGAACAAACATACAGTTGCTATATTCTAGTCATGGAATCATCCACACAAAAGTTATCCCAGTCTGCGTTTTAACTATGAAATCATATTTGCTTTTCTGTACTCAGACACAAGCTCATTTTGTTCATTTCCCATACTCTGAGCATTATTATAGCTAATGAAGACATAAAATTTATAACCCAATGCTTTTTCTACAATAGTGATATGTGAATGCCTCTTTTTTTTTTATTACATAAGCTGCAGGAGAGAGAGAGTGACCTGCTTTGTTTCTTTGTAGAATTCAGGCTACCAGTAGCAGTTAACCTTTCATCATGCCATTTTCCCAATGAAATTCATGTCTCATTTCTGAGGCTGCTATCTGCCTTGTAGATGAGAAAATCCCATAATGTATGAGATCCAAACTTCCTACAACAGATGTTATACCAGTGGGATGCTTCTGTTGGAGGAAATGTAGAAAGAAGTATGTTCACTGATTTCCCTGTGATCCTGTCTTTATATAAAGGACAGGAGAACCTCCTCTCTCCCCCACCATATACACAAAAGTAGTAGTATGGGTAACTGCAAGACAGAACAGGGAAAAAAAACATCTTTTCCATTCTTTCAGGGGCCATTTTATCTTCTACAAATGTAAGGATTTATTCAATTTCTGAAGACCCCAGTCTCAATCCAACAAAATGCCTGCAGATATGTGTTTTCTATCAAACAGCAGCCTTGGAAGAGGGCAATCTTCATCAGGATAACAACATGCAAGAAAAGCTTTTTCCTCTTTAGTTATTGTCTGGAAAAAACATTAAAGAGACATTTTACTTCAGACTACGCTACCCTGTTATAATGTATAATTTGGCCCTAAATTAAAGAGAAGTAATGCCTCATATTTGCTTTAAGGTCAATTTATAAGATTACATGAAAATCCCATTTAGATTAACTTCCAACCCACAACCAGATGTGCCACTTCAAGCTGTTTGAATGTCACTATATTGTGGTGTGATGTGCAAATCCTGTTCACATTCTACTATCCACTGACACTGATCCGAGCACAAGGAGGATTTTATACTAGTTTTCTATAGTTGCAATGAATATCCATGTACAGTTATCTTAAGATTCTGCCTTCCAACAAAAGAAGCACACAGTGTTGCAGTGCAGTACAGTTCTCTCTAACCTTTCAAAAATCAGCAGAAAAAGTACTGCAAGATGCTGGCTACAGGATTAACTAGGTATCATCTAGTATTACCAGGGCAAAATCAAATGGGAATATCTTTTGCAAAGATTAATTTTTGCTTCCTTTCCATTACCATATACAGTATATCCAGAAACAATAATAACTCTTCATAGAAATTATGACTCAGAGGTAACTGACTTCTCTAATAAATACATCTATCTGCATTATGAATAACTAATGTGCCTAAGCTGTCGCACTCCCCCCCCCCGCAAAAATCACCTTTTTATCTGATATCCCTGATTGCTGAAAAGACTTCTTAAACCAGTAGTCTACTGGGAATACTATGATTTAAGAGTTGCTTCCAAAACAGGATTGCAAATAAGTATTATATTTTTCTGAAGCATGCAGAATTGTCAAACATTACAGCTGCAGGTCTTGAGCTTCCCAGATGGCATGATCCTTGACACAGAATTTCTCTTGCCTATTTTACTTCGTAATAGGATATCAAGCTACAGCTAGGTTCATACATCACACTAAACCAGTTTGGCATTTATTTTGGCTTAATGAGTTCTATGAGTCAAGTCACTGTGGCTTGCAAACTCTGATTATTGGGTCAGCATTATGCATGAACCCAGCCTCTTCATTCTGTAACAAAGCAACTCTCTTAAAATAGTGTTTAACCCTGAATATTGGGTGCTGATGACTCACGGAGGTCTTTTAATTTAAAGTAAGGCTAATTTCATGATGATTTAACTTACTCGTTACTTATTTCTTTTTTCGGTTTTCACATTTACTTCCTTTAAAAAATAAATAAATAATCCCAATTCATTCCATTCTAGCCCTATATTATAAATTAAGAGATGTAACCCTAACCATTTTAAAGGCTTTGTGTGTGCACGTGTATTCTTTTGTTAAAAATCATTACGTACTATACTCATTAATTTTGTGCAAAATGGAGGGAGGAAATTAACACAGGATCTCTCTGTGGCATAATATGTCCTGCTAATTTAAGTTCTTCACTATAGGACACTAGGAATATTTCTGTTTCACAGAGTTAACATTACCGATGCTAAATAAAATCGCTAAAGCTGATTCAATCTAGGAAATAGCCTGAAATTAAGACTGGAGTTTTGAATATTACTTGGTAAAACAGTTCAATTATTTGTATTAGAGTTTACCAATTTCATCTGCACAAATGTTTCCATTCCAATCAAGCTATCATTTAATATAAAAGGTAAATTCCAAAATACTAGGCCATCTTTTAAAATGCAATTGTGTTAACTTATTATTGCTAAATTATATTACTAGATTTACAAGCAGTAGAATGCTAGATTTTAAAATGACAGTAATAATGCCAGGGTTCCTGCCTAAACAGTTTTCAGAATTTCAGTGCCATATACAATCCATTCAGAAGTAAACCGCACCATCAATGGCATTTATTCCCATGTAAGTGTGTACAGAATTATAGCCTTACATTGAGAAGCAATGAACAGAAGTATGGATTGGCAGTATTGTTGGCTTTGACACAACATGCTGTGTGAACTCAGAAACTGTAGTTTATAAACCACAGTTTGTGACTCTGTAGTATGCATGAACTCAGTCAACTGTGGCTAATTCAACAGGTCATAGTTAAACAAACCATGACTTATGTGCAAATCAACTCCAGTAAGTATAGAAAAATGAGACAGGTGGAAGGTGAGAAGCAGTAAAAGAAAGCTAGATAGGGAACTGATGGCTCAGAAAGAGATTCCCTCTGTGGAGAAATTACATAATGTAAGAACAGTGGGAATGCTGAGTAATGCTTGGGACCATCATTTCTTTTACCTACCTGAGGTACCCATTTTGAAGAAACGAAACTTGTCACTTCTATGACAGACAAGCCAGTCTTGGAAAGTTGGTCAATTAACTCAATTTTCACATCTGTAGGAAGTATAGCCTGTGAATATGAGGAAACATCATTTCTATACAGTACCATGGGTTAAAAACATTTTAGATCCATACCCAAAACTATTTATAATGCAGTAACATAAAATGTAAAAATCACCAATAATGTTTTAAGATATTAGGGCCAGATGCTCTTTTCTTAGGCAAAGGGAAACTAACACACATACACAGGAAATGAGTTATAGTATGCACTACATTTGGCTCTTCACCGGAGTCTGCAATATCTGTTTAATACAAGTGACATAGTCAAATGGAATAAAGACTATGGATAGCACATGTTTGTGAATACAAAGCATATTTTTCTGACTATTACAATAACTGGCATTGTACCAACCAGATCAAAGCAGAAAGGAAGGCTCTGTCCCCAGGAGCTTACAATTTAAAGCCTCTGAGACTAAGAAAAAGACAAGGATGGAAACGTAATCAATTAATGATAGAAGAAACATGAGAAAATCATTTAGTCATAAAGTAAGACTAAAGTCAGAAAGCTGCTGTGACTGTTTCCATTATCATGAAATCTGGACCTCTCCTTCTACAAGTGGACTTTAACGTTCTGTCCTTTGCTAGGCAACTTCCCTCTTCCTGCCTCATCAAATATATTCGAGGAATCTTATATGGAGTGGCTATTGAGGAAAAAGCACCTCTTCCATCAGCAGTGCCTGCTCCTTAGTTTATATAAGTTCTACTTAATGCAGGAGAGTCTAACGACAATACAGTGACACTCCAAGTATATGCACTGGTTTTATCTGCCTGTACTTGTGGTAAACTATCATTCAAACACTGCAAGACATCATTTTCTATCCAGATTCAACTACTGGTAACTTCACAGGCCCATATAAGATTCTTGGCAACAAAACAGAAGCAGTTTGTATTCCCTTCTTCTAGGATGTTTTTCAACTTCCCAGTCCAGCCTACAGCTCTATAGTCTCCCATCCAAGTACCAACCAGGTCCAATCCTGCTTAGCTTTTTGAGATCAGCTCAGGTTGACTAAGTGCTTCCATTTAGGCAAAATTCCACTCACTGCCATATGATTTTTGTCACATCTGTACCACTTATTGAGGTAGCTTCCATCCTAAGGCTATCCTTTCATACGTAAACATTGCATGAGCTGTAAGGCACATGCTTCTACATGATGATATTCCACATATTATGTCTGGAGGGTAAAGAAGAGAGGGAGGGAGAGATCACAATCCCTTGGAAGGAGACAGTTGCACAGGTCTTTCTCACTTGATGAGGAACTTTTTTCCTGCAAATTAATGATCAAATGGGGAAAACCCATAGGATGGACACCAGCTAAGTGACAACACACATACTGAAGCCATATGGGATGTCACCAAAGGGAAATAGCTTCCATATGGTTTAATGCCTGTAAAGAAGCTACAAGTTTTGTGAGCTTCCCGCAATTAATATGCCACAGTCCTTTTCTTTAATATAAAGTTGCTATTGTATATTTCATTGTTGTACTACTGATTGATTTCATACTGTCTCTACTTAAAAAATTAATCATTTCAGTTAAATGAACATTTCTTTTCTTTTTGCTATAGATAGTCATATTTTGTTGATATTTTTTAAAGAAAGCCCTTGAAGACAATATTACTGCAATAGCTAGCATATTACTAAGTACTGAAAAAAGAAACAAATGTTTATATCAAGAGATTGATTAATTAATTAAACCTAAATTTAAAATTCACAATAGAGAGTGGGGTTTTTTCTGTCAGATAGAAATCTGACAAAAGTCCAGACTCTTAGTATAGGAATATCTAGACTCTGGTACCTTTTATATATTGCTGTAAACTTTTAACAGCATGATCAATTATCTGGGCTTAATTAATACAATACTGTCTTCCTCAAACACTCACTATCCTCATTGTTAACGTACCTTTTCATTCTGTAATCCATCTCTTGGACCAACTTCCACTATTTTAACAAACTCAGGAAATCCACTTGTAAGCAATTCCTGAAACATAATATGAAAGATTTGTTAACACATACTGTAAAAGATCACAGTTTAATCTATCCTAAGGCTCCTGCCTTGGGGCTTTGCCTACAGCCTGTTTTCATACTAGAAACAAGTTCTGGAATGTGAAAGTAGTAACAATGAAAATTATCTTAAAGACTCTTTGCAGAATGTCTTTCCATCATCACAAAAATACAGGAATGTTTCCCTGCAGATTGGGATCAAACAGACAGGATTCCAAAACTTGATAGCCTTTTTCAAGAAACACTGAAGCCTGATACTGCTCTTATAAGAAAATAAGAACAGGATCAACTGGATCATAGCCTCTTCCTCCCAACATAAAGTTTACATTTTTAAGAAGCTGATTTTCATCTAGTTTGGGAATAATGTATATCAGCAACTAGCAACATTTACATCAAATCTGCATTCCAGATACTAATCCTGTGATCAAAGGAGAGTAAAGATGAAATATGGTTATGAAAATGTAGTCTTCTGGAAGGTATTTTGGAAAGATTCTTGTCATTCATTCTTGCCAACTCTTTTCTAAACAAAACTCCAGCAAAATTAGTTACCAACCAAGGCATTAGATCAGATCTATACTTTATACATGTACGTATGGGTATGTGTGTGCATATACATATATATGCACCACAGCGATATGGTAGTAAGCTGATGATATCACTGAATGGAGTAAAACTGGAATTTTGGGACCAGCTTTTTCATGTTTTATAGATTTAAAATCAAGAATTTCTGATGGAGGGAACGCACACTGCCTAGAATCAAAAAATGCCCAGCCAATTACGAAATGACTTTCTTGTCCAAATTCAACTTCTTTTCACACTGCCCAAATTGTTGGGACTTCCAATTTTGCCTCTAGAAATTGAAGGCAAGACAACATTGTATTGTGGTACTTTTGTAGCCTTCTCTCACATATATGTCACTGCCACAAATGGCTACACATTAAATTAAGTCCTATGTAGTGATCCTCTTTACTGATTGCTAAAGCATAGTGGTGATGATGGGGAATCCAATTCATTTAGCCTTCATTTGTGATGACAGTGCAAAAAGAAACAGAACATAGGAAATATCTGATCACATGTATATCATCTGGCCTACAAAACTTTTATTGGACCAGGGTGGGTCCACACTTGCTGAGCATATAAGTCCATTTCAATGGAATGGCAAAGCTCTCCCTTGCTATATAACCCCCTCCAATTTAGAAAGCACTTTATTATTATTAATGCAAGACCTCCTTGCAGAGGGTGTGTTTTTGCAGTTTTTCAAGATCATCAGTTATTTGATCTTACAAGACAAATGCCACATTTGTGGTACAAATGCATCTGTGAGAAATAGGGTAAATATCTCACGCCTACTCAGAATGTATTCAACATGTGCATAACTTTTATCAGCATAATTTTCCATCATATGAGTCAAATCTGTGAATGATCCCAGGGTATTTGACAGCACACACCCAACAAGCATGCTTGTGCAAGTAAAGACCACTGCCATTTTTTTGTATATTGTATTACAAGTTATCTTTTGTGGAAAATCTTAACGTGATGTTTCAATTACCCACACATAGCTATCAGATGGCTTGGTCATTTCTCATTGCCATTTAGGTAATTATACTTCTTTTTTCTGCCATACTAGACCAAATGTCATAGTAGTAAAATGGGTTATTTTCCTCCTCTCAGCAACAGTTGTACAGAAAGATAACTAAAATCTAGGATAGGAAGGATTAAACCTCCCCACATACTGTGATCATGAAATGGATTGGGCCTCTTGCACTTACTTTGGAATAAAAGAAAGGTAGAAGGAGACCTGGTCCTACATGTCTAATATAATGTGTACCTTGACTCTGGGATAAATCTCTGGTGTTCCATTTGGTAAAGACAGGCTTCTGTGGAGCCCTTCTTTCAGAGCTTTCTATCCATTTCAGTGTAATCAGCATGGTTATAGTAGGAGCCATTTGAAGTAAGTGCCAGCACTGGAAGTGCTACAGGTCTGGTGATATTGTGGTAAAGTGCCTTCCCAAGTGAAATATCTTCCAAATGTGTTGAAAAAAAAATCAAGCTTCAATTAACTAACATGTTATAGTTCTGTTTGTTGGTACTGGTGAACCATTTACACCAGAGTGGACAACTTTTTTCAGCAAGGGATCACTCTATCTATCTATCTATCTATCAATCAATCAATCAATCAATCAGCCTGCAGGGGAGATGTTCAGTAATGGGGTAACATTATAAGATGAAGAGTCACAAGGGGAGAGCGGGTATTTTCACATGGTTTGAATGACAGAGATGTTAACATGTGAAACTTTTTGTTTCTTATTTCAGCAAACTCCCATCCTTAACAATTATGACCCTGACAGTTATTATTAAGCATTATAAGCAGCTTAAACTGAAGATGCTCCAGGGGCCTCAAGTTGTGATCTCTAATTTGCACACTGATTCAAACTTATTTTAATTTAATCCTGCAATTTAATTTCCATGAACTAGCAATGTGGGATAGGGCAATTTGAAGTGGAAAAAGGTTTACCATGTTGATCTACACTATAACAGTGAATGATCAACAGCGAATCACTCAACCATCACAGAAAGATGACAGATCGTATGAGATAATAAAAGACAAATTCTAAATTGGAGTTACAGGCCAATCAAGACCTTAGATAAGACTGGGAGTGCTGTCTAAGGGACATTTAATCAATAAAAGCTGGGTATATCTGTACAGCACTGGAACAGAATATTCATGAAAAGACACTATTCTTCAGCCAGGAAAGAAAGAGACCGGAGCCAATTTTGAAGTTAAAATGGACAGATGAGAAAAGCAAAAGGGGTCAGACATGATCTGGCCATCCCTACAATTATTGAAATATAAACAAACAACATTTGGGAATTAAAATCCTCTCTTTGGGGGCCTGAGTGAAATTTAGCAGCACTGCCACCTGCTGTAAAGATGACATTTCTGGTCTACTTGCAAATTTGGTGGGGAAGAGGGAATTATTCTTAGTTTAAGATTTGAAATAGTCAAATCAATAGTTCTCATTCAGTAAAATCATAAAATATTATCCCAGGAATTATTTCAGAATTTAGTATGTGTCAACACATTTCTGTTTACTGGACCAGTCAGAAAGCAATGGAAAAACATATATTACCATAGAATGCACTAAGAAAAAATATGTGAGGAAGGGATATACAAAAGATCATTTTGCCTACAATCTTCTCACAGCCTTGTTTCCACTTCTGTTCTGCTTGTCTATTTGTAAATAAACAAATATTACAAAGAAACCATAAATCCCCAACGCTCTCTCCTTGAAAGGAAGCCAAATTGTGTTGTGCTGTTCCAGCATTTCTTAGCCTTTAGAGAAAATGGAGATCACTCTGTAGAACAGCAAGAGTCAATTTGGTGTAGTAGTTAAGGCACCAGGCTAGAAACCAAAAGATTGTGAGTTCTAGTCCTGTCTTAGAAACAAAGTCAGCTGGGTGATTTTGGGCCAGTCATTCTCTCTGAGCCCTAGAAAGAAGGCAAGGGCGATGCACTTTTAAAAATCTTGCCAAGAAAACTTCATGGGCTTGCCCACTTGGTTGCCAGGAGTCAACACTGCTTCAAGGCATAAAAAAAATTATTTAACAGTGCCTGAAACATTAGAATAGCAGGGATTACTTTTAAACCCCTAATTATATTTATAGCATGCATTTACCTTATTTTGCTTAAAAAACTCAAAGGGGCATACAAGATCTAAATGTAAACATAAAAACATCAACAAGCCAACCCTAGTATAAAATTCATTCTATCCAGCCAGGTCCCTTAAAGTTAAAACTAAAAGCTAATGATATTAAAAAAAAAAATCTGGCAACAAAATTGTACAAAGATTAACTGTTCCTTCGTTACATTAACATTTCTTCCTAAATTTGATCCAACAAAAATGCATGCTTGATCATTAAAGATAATGAGAGGTTATTAAATTAGATATCAGTTCTGTGAAGTGGTGAGTACCATGGGTAAATTGTGTGGAGCATCAGCAACAAAGGGGTTTACATAAAAAGCTAAGAGCCTGGAGCATTTTCCATTTATCAGGTGTTGGCAAAAACCAGAAAACAGTATGTAAAACCAAGGAAATCCTCTATCCTCAAAAATGCCTCCTTCCAAACAGAAAGCACCATTGGATTTCCACCCTCCTCAGATGCCACACAATTTGAACAAGAGAGAAAAGGCTTAAGATGTTGTCTGCCAAATATCTTAATCGAAATATTCAATTTCTGCTCCTCTCCCCAGCTTATAAAGTGATTAAAACATGGGTTTATAATAGAAAATGCTGCTAACCTTTAATCATGGAATTACAGCCTTCTTAAATTTACATCAGCTGTAAGCAAATCAACCATACATACATACAAAGAGGGAGGGAAAACACTACTAATAACTTCCCCCTCTCATGGAACTAGAATTCAGAAACATTAGCAGACATCTTAGCTTTCTCTACATTAGGGAAATGCCACCCTGTTTGCTGTTCAACTCATAAACCAATGCAGCCAATCTAATACTAGAAGAAAGCCCTGTATTCTTACAGATTGCACATATCCACTGCATAAGTAACCAGAACCCCCATCCAAATGAAGCTGTATGGCATTACATGTCACAAGAGGTTCTTTTAGCTTAGTTTCATCATAATCACAATACATAAGAGCAACAGACATTTCCATTCCCAAAACTAGTATTCCAAATCAGTTGAGTAACCCCAGCACATGGTTATAGAAAGGGTGCACTTGCATGATTGCCCCTATGAAATGTATGACTGACTGCAACATCAAGTTCATTTGCCTATGGAGAAAAAGCCACCCTGGGTGACTAGTCCCCAAGAGCACTTCTTTAAACACAACGCTGAATCAACAAATAACAAGCCAGCAGGTGTGAATCAGCCCATAGTAGGCTCAGCTCTGCGCTGAGGCAAGTGTGTATCAGTTCACAAGAATGACATTATAAAGGACAATGAATTAAACAATGTCTCTCAACTTTCCTCATGGGATGGCTTAGCAATCATGCAGTCCACCACGAGTGTAGTCAGGAAACTGCCCTACTCCATGTCAAAACTTCTATCATTTACTTGACACATTGCACTGACTCTCTAGGATGCCAGGTAGTGGTCTCTCTTAGGCTTACTTGAAGATGCATCATGGAGCTACAGCCCTTTCCCTAGCTCATGTTTGTGCCTTAAAAAAAGTTCAGGCTACAGTTATAAGAAATCAAACAGGTCCAAGACAGTTTCATTATTTCAAGTTCAAAGGAACTGTCATAAATATCTCAAATAACTGACTGCTTATGAGGTGGCAAGAACAGCACATAAAGTCAGTGTCTACTGGGTGGAACACCCATATCCCCAAGTTTACAAGAAGTTAACTTTGTTTGTTTGTTTGTTTGTTTATCAAGTGCCTTTTTAATAGGTTTTGTTTCCTTAATACTGGAGAGTCCTTATAGACCATTTTTCAATGCAATTTCTACCCACCTGGTGAGGAGACAAGAACATATTACTATTTGAGAGTGTAACACAAACAAATAACTCGATCTCAAGGACAGTGTGTTTCCTACATAGACTCTTTTTGGATAATAGTGTGGAGAGACACATTTTCTTAACATGAATTCCCATGGAGAGTAATCCATTAGTAATTAATTCTCCCTAGATAAATAAAATCAGAACACTTTATTTTGATCAGTGAACAAAACTTAAACATACATACCCAAGGTGGTATCACTTAGTATTAGTTCATACCAAACTTAAAGTCACAAAACAAATTTATCTCAGGTACATAGTAAAAAAATACTTTTTCTTCTCCACATTTTTCTTCTCTAATTTTATACCACACTACACAACGTTCAGCCACCATTATGCGTATCTTGGGTCAGAATCAACACCATAGTGCATCTGGTCCAATGTGAATCCAAAGTGGACCTGTGTTGGCCCCAAAAATTGATTGTGACTTATCATGAGAATACTGGGACAACCAAAAAATCAGGGTGATAAGCGAGTGCTGTATCCCTAGATATGCATGTGAAGAACTAAAGAAGAGAAACAACCTATGGTAGATAGAACTCCAACTAGAAACGACTTGACAGTTATATCAAAGAGAAAAATAGGCAAAAAATATACCCTAAAGAAGTTAAGTGAATTCCCTATAAGATGAAATGGTCCAAATGGTTAAAACAGTGTAAAAGCAAATTGCACAGACAGCAAATAGTGAGCTTGTGAATGAGAACATGATGGAAAATATATGGCAACAAAATAGTTCAAAAGATCTAAGACTCTTAGTAACTTAAAATTAAAACCATACTTTTCAGGAAATCTTATCCTAATGAACAGATTGCCAGAAGTAATAATGGTTTCTAAAATCCATTAGAGCAAAACACTTCCGAAATAATAGAACACTCCAAGGGATATTTGCAAATCTAAATACTACTTAATTTGGAAAATTAAAATAATAAAGTCTTCCAAGACTAAAACTCATCAGGAATGTGTACATAAGAGGAAGCAGATTTTCCTCTGATGTTCAGGATTTATCTCTTCTTCACCTCCTCACATACCAGGAAAAAACTTCAGAGTTCTAAGGGTGTTTTCACACACTGTATTTTTAGGTACATTTAAAAAGTGCATGTCTAAATATTTAAGAAGTGAATATGATGGATATGTATTTTATGTGGGGACAATGAATCAGACTGTAAAAGTAAGAACTGGCTTCAGGCCATTGTACATTATACATTTAGTGGCAATCCAGATTTGCTTTTGAAACCCAATCAGCTCTATGCATCTTTCTGTACAATCCACCTGAAAGCACCAGGGCTTTCCTTCTGAAAAGAAGAAAAATGTTTCTCCATTCTAATCCACTTCTATGAGATGTAAATGGCAAGGTACAATGGAAGTTATGAACAAATGCTTTCATCTTGTTTTCCCTTTTTCTTTCCTCACAGGAAGTGAAGAGAAAGTGAGTTTTGAAATTAATTCCTAGAAGAATCTTGCTTGGCCAAGCCAACATAGTTCAGCAAATACCCAAGCATTTCTTTCTACTGAACTATCCCTATGGAAATCCATTATGGTATTTATTTATGGTACTTTATTCGGAAAGTAGCATATAACCAGGATGACTCAACTAACCTTGTTCTGTTTATCCAAGCAAGTGGGCCCTCAATTTTAGTACTTTAACAATGCCACTTGCAGGGTTGTCTATCATACTAAATAGAACTATACAGGTCTACTTTATATGTTCAGACATTTTTTTCACACCATTCTCTGAATAAGTAGAAACTAGGTAGATGAAGGCAAGGACTACTCACTGACACTTGACTTATTCCAGTTTTCTTCCATGGGTAAAAGGACTAAAATATACATATTTTTTGTCACTGAAAAATATCTGCTATTTTTAAAAACATTAACTGAGATTTACAGATGACAGGATGTCTTCAGGACTGTTTGTATTCTGTGTATCTTCAGGATAGAGATGACACAGTGGGTTCACTTCATGAGAATTAAAATAATCCCTACATTTAAGAATAAACACATTTAAATATGCTTTATGAACTGGTTTCAAGCAATAGCACTATTCTGGTATATTCAATTCTTCCAGCATAGGAGATACCAATAACTGAATTCCTAGTATGAGAACTGTGGTTATTCCAAATTCCCTTATATCTGAGTACCATTGCATTTGTTTATTTTATTTTATTTTATTCAATTTTGAGGCCACCACCTCAAGTAACATTCTATTTATTCAGTTTCATAACATTCAAATATTTAACTGTTACTTTAGCACCCAATGTTGTATGATATCTTCATAAATCAATCTTTATCCTTTAAATGTCATTCCTATATGAAAATATAACTACTGAATTACTTTTAAACCTCTGACAATAGAAGCAATGCACATTCATACCAAAGAAACATTTTTGTTCTAAATTCAGCTGTGATATAACCAATCTCTTATTTTTCACCATCTTTCTCTTTTTCTGGGCCTCCTGTTTGATTAAGCCACTGCATTTTATCATCTTTCAGAGAATTGGACAGACACCAGACCTAGGGTTGTTATATCTCATGCCTAAGAAGCAACAGAATTCAACATTTCCTTTTCCTTCTCATTGAATTTCACCTTGATTTGTATTCCTGCCATTCTAGAGCAAACAGTAGAATATTCTTCCAGGAATAATATATAATAGCGGGAGACCAGTTGTAAAGAACCTCAGTCTTTCTCTGAGATTTGCACCCCTCCGTTCATTCAGCTCTGTTTTGCGCTGGATTCTGAATTTGGATTCTTGCCTCCATTTATATATCTGGGCACCATTTCTGGGCTCCAATTTTGCTTTCTGCTAGTCCACACAGTGGGGCAATACTGGTTTTCTAAATCCACTACAACCTCTACAATAGTTGCTTATATTCCTTCTTTTGGCAATCCAATGGTAATAACTGGACTCATTAGGACCAATCTCTCCCAGAACCATCCGAAAATACTAGTGAGGGAGCTGAGGGGGCTGCAGCTGCAAAAAGCTACTGTCTAGGCTATGCTGGTGGCAAGGTGGTACCATTTGTGCACAGTTGACTTAATTGGTGCTTTATCTAGAAACAGAAAGGAAGTGCCAGTAAGTGAGTAGATTGGAGTCACTGTTCACATCTCTAGCATGATCATCTCTTTCAGAGGTAATGCAGTCATGATAACTGACCCTTCTGAGTCCAAAATCCCGATCATTATGCCTTGCACAGAGGTTGCTAAGTGAGCAGATGAGAAATGACCAGGAGTCATTGCAGCTCTTCTCTCTCTCTCTCTCTCTCTCTCTCTCTCTCTAGATGTGACAGCAAGAAACTACAGTGATACTCAAATCAACTTTTTCTAAGCAGGTACAATGAAGAAATGGAGCCAGTGCCTGTTTCTTCTTTTTGCCCACTTGCTTCTACTGGGGCATGATGGGAATTGAGACAAAGTACTATAAGTGACTGATTAAAGGGATATAGGTAGGTGTTTAAATTGGTTCATAATCTCTTGGGAAGAAAACACTAGCAGTGTCTGAGTGCTGCTATTCATCCAGCAGGGGTGAGGAACATGTAACCCTTCAGAAGCTGATGAATTACAACTTCCAGAAACCTGCCACCATGGCCACTGGTGAAGGATGATGGGAGCTGAAGGCATCTGAAGGCCTTCAGACTCCCTGACCCCTGCTTTAAAGGATGAGGCTTTCTGCACTACTGAGAGGAAGAAAGTGATGCTGAGTTCAGTGCTTCTTAATACTTCTTCTTCCTGCCCCATATACCTCTCTGAATGGTGCAGTCCAGTTGACGGAGCACCCGTGCCATCAATCTTCCCACTTCCTTTTAGAAGTGATATTGGGGTACCTTCTCACTGCTGCTTAGAACCAATTCCTCCATCTGGGGGCCCTCCAGATCCATGGGGATACCAGGATTCCCAGCCAGCCTAGCATGTGGGAATTTTGAGCACCACAATCCCCAAATATATCTCAAGCACCCCACGGCTGGCGTACAGGGAAATGGCAGAGATGGCACTGGCAGGCAGGCTTTCTCCTGTAGAGGCAAGGATACACAGAAAAGCTCCCAGCACCTGAAGGGGACCCCAACCTCCCCGGGCCCTCTGATTGGCCTCTGTGCCTGACTGGCAACTGGTCAGCCAAAGCTCTGGGCGCCACCCCTCCTCCTCCCTCCCCCACCTTCCGGGTGTGGGCTGGAGCTTCAGCCGTTGCCCTGAACGGCCTTGTGGCGCCCTGGTACCTGCCCAGGCTGTTGCAAAGCAGTAGGCTGCGGGGCAGCTTCGCCGATCCACAGCTGCTCCTTGAGGAGGTGGTGGTAGCTGAGGCAGTGCTTCAGCGCCGTCGGGACGTTGCCCATTGCTCCGGTCTCCCTTCAGGAGCCAGCCAGCCCCCGCCCCCCGTCCGCAAGGTCACCGGCTCCCCGGGCTTCTGCGCCAAGCCATCTGCAAGGCTTCCCGCCGGAACCCAGCCCCGGGGCGAGCGTGGGTGCAGCATCCGCCTCGGCCAGCCGAGGGAATCCCGGGCGGCTCTGATTGGCTGAGGTGGATGCTGGGAGATCGCGGTGCCAGCATCCCTGGCTGCCGGGGGCGGCCTGACTGGGATGTTGCTCTGCTGGCCCGTGCGCTGAGCCGTTTAGGAGACGGGGTGCCGGCTGGTGGGAGGAGCTGGAGCCCTGCTTACGCACACAGTAAATATTTTGATCCTCTGCCCGGCTCGGAGAGCTACTTTGCAGCAGGAAGGTGGCGGATTGAAACTGGGTTAGTCGACTGGCTCCTTATCCAGCAGGTGGCGGTCTTTAGACTCTGCTGTTGCATCATTAAGAACTGGCCAAAAGCGTCAAGGACGGCTGGCAGAAAGAGAGGAAGGATTTCGAAAAATTCATTAAGGCTTAACACGGCCAGCTTTGCTCAGTCGCAGACAGGCGAGCCTGGGACAGGATATGGAAGAAGAATTGCCTCAGAGCATGGCAAGAGTACCCATGCGTCTGAGTTGAAGCCAGGCGCTCAGAGACCCAAGCCATTTCCAGGGTTTCAGGCCTTGATGAATATAAACATGATAGCACTTGGGAAAAATATGGGGCACCAAAAAGACAAAGCAAGACCCAATTTAATTAGTTTTTAAATAAATACAATTAACAAGCCTCTAAACCTGAGGCCCAGGCCAAATGACACTTTTGTACACACACCTTCCCCTCAATGCTTTTTTAGGTTGGAAGCTGCTAGACCATGTCTCAGCACTACTCTGTTTTTTCCATCATTGCACTGCCGCGGCTGTTCACAGTTTCAGATGGGTCTTTTCCAAATACTGATCAATGAACCTGGGATCTTCTGTGTGCAAAGGGATCAGTGGCCCCTTTCCTTGACTGAGATGACACTGAATGAGGAAGTGGGAAGACATCCAATTTTGTACTAGGGAACCTAGAATTCCTTAGAATTGGAGTTCACCACGTATAACTGTAAGTAACAGCAGACAAGTCTGCTCCTTGAAAGCAGTTTATTCTCAAACAACAGTTGTCCACTCCAATTTGCATCCAAAACTGGAGAACATTGGATGTGACGGATCTCAGTTTTTACAGTGGCAGAGTCAAACAGAGCCAGACAGATTCTGCATGAGTTGTGTGCCTAGAATATGTTTTTGAATCCACTACAACATAAGAGTTACATGGTAGTAAAAAAAAAAACATTCTTCCCTGAAAAACGAATATAAGAAACTATTACTCAAGATAAAATTTTAATTTTGGAAAATGGCTGCTTAAATGGATTTTCTAACAAAATTCTTTGGTTTAAATACAGATAACTGGATTTTCACACTATTACAGAATAAGAGTAGAATAAAGCTCATGTTGACATGTATAATTAGATGCTGTAGATAAGAGCTGTCCATTCTTAATAAATTAAATATAAACATAATTTATTTTGCATTTATTCTGAATATGGAAACCTGACAATGTGTAATTCAGGAATATATTATCTACCTCAGGCTACTGTCCTACCCACATTTACCAGGAGTAAATACCACTGTACTAAGTATGGCTTTCTTCTGACTAAAAATGATTGTATGGCTTTCCTTCATTCCCAACTGAAAATATCTTCAGGAGTCTACATTGCAGATTCTATCCTGGTCATGATTTTAGTGACATGGTCACTCCTTTATCTGGAACACCCTCTTCCTACCAAGCTCTCATCTTCAAACTCTACTTCAGAACCTCTGACAATTTTAGATCTTCTGGAACATAAGGAAATAATGACCACTCAGCTGATTATGTTTCTCTGACTTTTTGGTTGGCTTATACTTCAGTCTAACTCCCCTGTAGATTTAAAATTAGAGTGAAAAATCACACAGAGATCTTACATATATGGGAGAAATTATTCTCATAAGAAAGTGATTCTTTGGGGGTATAGGGTAAGGAGGGCAGCTGCCCTCATTTTTTAGAAGCAGCATCTGAATTGGTCTCAAAGTCAGATCATTTAAGAAGGCTCTACTTTTGACAGAATAATGAAATACATGATTTTTAGAAAAGGAGGCCCCAACCAGGGCTTATGAATTAATTTTATGATGTTATTCTCTAGATATGTATTTTACTTGTCTTATTTTATTTAATTTCTATCTCTTTATGTTGCTTTGTTGCTTTTATCTGATTTTGAAGTTGTACTGTGTGTTAATTATATTGATTGTCCTGTTTGGATGTAACATATCTAGCTTCTTTTATCACATTATGGATCATTAACTTCTATTTCATGACCAAAAGAATACAACCTAGGTTCTGAATTAATAGCCTTTGAAATAAGGTTAATTTACACCAAACCTTGCATTTTTCAGTAACCTACCAAGATAATAAAAATCTAAATATTTTGAATGTTGATATCTCCATGGAATACATCGTAGTATTCTGGCACGCTCTTGTCCTTGGTTTAAGACATAAACAAGTACACATACATATAAACACAAGTGTGTGTATGTGTGTTTGTATATGCATCATTAGTGACCATACAAGTTTATCATCTAATCATCATTATAAGCAAGATGATCAAAGCCAATGGATTTTTAGTCATCGTGTAATTAAATTGTAGCCGGAAAAAAATAGAGTGCATTGTTTGGAGGCATAAAATAGCAAAGAAGAGATGTTGGGCAATCAGAAAATAATGAACTAAGATACTTAGATGCCAAAATTGGCAAAAAGCTAATGTGTCTACCAAGCAGGGATCAAAGCTTCATATAGTCAGTCTCAACCAACAAAAAATAAGCCATAGAGTTTTGACAAGCATGAAGCTAATACAGTCCAGCCTACACAAGAGAAAACATTGGGTCTTATGACAGCATAATAGCTATCATCCTCAGATCAATTTTAATTGCAGAAAAAATGTAAATAATTTCTCATATATCTAGTTGATCTACATTGTTGGCAACTAAGTGCTTGAAGAAAGTGCTTGAGTGTATGAATCTGCAAACCATGTCAGTAAATTGATGTCTTCAGAGGTAGGATTTTGTATTGGTGACCAATGGCTGAAGCTGCCAAATTCTGGCTCCAGTCTGTGTCTGAGAGATACCAGTGTTCAAATCAGACCTTGTTTCAAGAGATCACAAGTGACCGTTCCAGATGTTGAAATTAATTCTTCCACTGATTTGTCAACTATTTTAAACATCAACCGGATGTCTCCATTATAACAGGAAAATTGCTTTCTGCAAGACTTGCTTTCATCTGCCGTAAGGATCTCTACATGTAGAAAGTGAGTGTGTAAAAAAGATTAATCTAGAATCTTTGACCTTCCATTTAGTTTTCTATCCAAAAGAAGGTTTTGTTTTCTTCCTTGCCTTTACACTGGATTTTGGCAACTTTGGCAATTAGTAAAAACTCACTAATGTGGACATCATGGTTTTTCCCACCTAGAAAGTGAAAGAGATGGAACTTATTTCTACAAATAAGTAATTTACCATTCAGCTTCTTGGAAGCCACATTATTCCTATATTGTACATGAGAAGTTCACAGTAACATCTAAAAGGACTGGAGCATTTTCTATTCAAGTTTAGGAAAGGAGAAGATGGATCTCTATTCCCTGGCATCTCCAGATAGGACTGAGAAAGATTCCTTTATGAATCCTAGGCCAGCAATAACCAATCCAGTGATGTATAATGTCCAACCAGGGTCCTTAATAAAGGACCTCAAATGAAACCTCTTCCATGTCAAAGCTTTATTCTATCCACTCCGCTTATACTATGTTTAGAAACCTATCTGAGCACAGGAAGAGTCTGTTGGGAGATAAGAGAAACTCTCTTTCTTTCCAACATCACCTGGTCTGGATAAGATTTGGATAGAAGGAGAATCAGCCCTTAGAATGGATTCTGATTCCCACCCTTGCTGACAATAGTCCTGGGCTGGATGGGCCAGTGATCTTATCAGTGGTCTTCCTATGTTTCTTTGTTTCTAGAATTCAGGGAGGATTGCTAAACCTATTAGTTGTAGGCAGTTTGCAACAAATCAGAATCTTCTAAATCAGAATACATTTTATGGGCTCTGGAATTAAACCTGTTGAAAGAAAGAAGTCAAAGGTATAGAATCCCTGAAACACTTGTGGAGTAGCACTGATGAATTTGTGGAGCAGCAGTGCCAAATTAAAAAATGGAGTACTTTCACTTAGAACTCATACTGAAATGAATAGGTCATTATATTACAGGCCAGCCCCTGTCCAGGAAATGGAAACTAGGGTGCTGTTGAGAAAGCATCTTCACGAGCAAATTAGTGTAACTTGTTAAAATAAGTTGTGTGGTTCATCTGAGACTAACAGGGTGGGAGATAATTGAAAACACATTTCCCAAGGAATGGTATCTGAAAACAGTGGTTCCACTTTTGAAAACAAACTGCAAATTATATTCTCATACAGTTAACAAAGCAAATAATTCCTTTGATTCCTAACACATGGAGTTATGACAAATACATAAAATATGTGTATGTGGTTTTTATGAAAAAATACTGTCCAAATTACAGAGAGAGAGAGAGAGAGAGAGAGAGAACACACTTAATTTAATTTGTTGTGCACAATGGACATTTCACCTGAAAATGGTTAGAGGGAGGAAGGTCTGCATGATTATAGCAATGTAGAAATGAGAGACTAGCTGCCTATTATATAAATAATGAACATATCCAGAGCTATATTGTATAGAATTTAAAATAAATAGAATGGCTGTGAACTTCCATGGTTAATGAAATAAACCATACACTGAGCAACTGAGATTAGAAAGGGAATTATGCTATGGACAAATCATTTCATTTTGCCTACAGGCAGGATTGGTTGATTGATTGATTTGCATATGTGTATTGAATACCACATAGGTATAGAACACAATTATTTTAAAATGTTAAAGAATAAATATCAATTCAATTCATTTTTTCAGTTCCTGTTTAAAGCCTCAGACTTCTCTCTCTGTTCCATGA